GTGCAGTGGCCGCTCCCGGCCACCGCAGTCTCGACCTGCTGGGCTCCGGCGAGCCTTCCGCCTCTGCCTTCCATGTAGCTGGAACTACAGGTGCGTGCTACCACGCCCAGCTGATTTTTTTATTTATTGTAGAGATGAGGTCTCGCCTGCCCAGGCGGGTCTCGAACCCACGGGCTCAGGCAATCCACTCACCTCAGCCTCCCAAAGGCGTGGGATTACAGGCTGAGCCACCGAGCCCGGCTTGTATTTCTATTTCTTAAACTGTATTTGAACTAAAGACATAAATGTTGCAAGTTTATGTGTTTTATTTTAATCATATCTTTATAAAAGCAGGTTTTTCAGCATAAAAAGAACAAGAGAGTCAGCCAAAGAGCAGAGTCCAGTCAGCCCCCTTCTCAAAGCACTGAGCCTGCAAATCCCCTAACAAAAGGAGATCCATAATGAGGACAGCAATTCTGGGAAAACGGGAGATGATTTGATTCTATTTGATAATATGGGGAACCGGACGTGGTGGCTCACTCCTGTAATCCCAGAATTTGGAGAGACTGAGGCAGGAGGATCACTTGAGCTAGGAGTTTGAGACCAGCCTGGGCAGCATAGCGAGACCCCCATCTCTATAAAAAAGTTTTTTTAAACTAGCCAGGTGTGGTGCGTGCACCTGTGGTCTCTGCTACTGGGGAAGCTGAGGTGGACGGATCATTTGAGCCTAGGAGTTTGAGCCTGCAGTGAGCTACTATCATGCCACCGAACCTCAACCTGGGCAACAGAATGAGAATCCATTGTGTAAAAAACTAAATAAATAAAATAATATGGGGAAAATCCCATCTGCCAATGTGGCTGAATGTACAGCATGAGCTATATAGCATATGAAGATGAAAACTCGCCTTTGAGCACTATCATAGGCATGAAGCATACAAGAAAAATCCTGGTGACTGCACATCCATGATTAATGGATCCTAGGTACAGCCCAAGAGTGTGGTTAGGTGGTGAAATCCATCTACCCCAAGCAGCCGCCACAGGGTTCAAAACCTGACCCTTGGGATTGTATGACTTGGACTTTGAAAAGCAACCAACTTGTGGGAGCATCTTCTAGACTGGAGTGGCCAGCCCAAGATTACAGGGAAAGTGGCAAAACTCTCCTCTTCGGGAGTACAGTGGAGTTCTAGGGTCATCCCCACCCAATTCCACCCCAACCTATATCCTGGTTCTCACATGTGAGGCATGTGGCTTTGCCTGAGCTGCTGTCCCTCTAGTAAAATGAGGATCGATGTTCACTCCACAAATGTTAACTGAGTTGAATGTTCTTGACTTTGTCAAACGTGGCCCTTTCCTGGCTAGGAGCTTAAAATCTGTCTTGAGTGATAGGGGATGGAGGGAGGGAGGGAGAGCTAGAGGGTGAGGGAGAGACAGAGGAATAGGCAGGGAGAGGGAGAGAGAGAGAGATGGGGGGATGAATTTCCTAATTCATAGCAATGGCTTCCAAATGAGTAGAAGGCAATAAGGACTATAAGAATATTTAGGGCTGTGCTCGGTGGCTCAACCTGTAATCCCAGCACTTTGGCAGGCCGAGGTGAGTGGATTGCCTGAGCCCACGGGTTCGAGACCAGCCCGGGCAACTTGGTGAGACCTCATCTCTACAGTAAATCAAAAATAGGCTGGGCATGGTAGTGCGTGCCTGTAGTTCCGGCTACTTGGAAGGCTGAGGCGGAAGGATCGCCAGAGCCCAGTGGCTGTGAGTGTGCCATTGCACTCCAACATGGATGATGGAGTGAGACTCCAACTCAAAAAAAATAATTCAGTATGGGGAGAAATTACTGGAGCCTTCATAAGACGCAGATAATTAAAGGGGTGATGAAATGGTGTTCCAGGTGTTGAGAAGGGGGCTGAACAGCAAGGAGATAAAAATAAATAGGCCTTTTCAAGGAAAATACAATATTTACAAGGGGGTAAAAATGGGCAAGTTCAATTTCCAAATCAAAGAGAACTGGTGGAGAGAAGGTCCCAAACAGGAAAATTCAACCCTAATCCAGCACCTTTACAAGTTATGCAGGGTGTAATGACATGACTGGTCAAAGGGACAGAGGCAGAGAGGAAGAGAGGAGAAACTAATAATCATTGAGGACCACCCTGGAAGGAGGCATCATCATCATCATCATCCTCACTGTAAGTGAGAGATCTAAAGCTCAAATAGTGTGAAATAATTCCCCATGGGAACACGGTCACTATCAACTCTGATCTTGTCCAACCCCATTGCTCATGCTTGTTCCTCTGTTCCAACACAAAGATATTTAAAATACATTTAATTGTCTTTCCTTGTTTTGACTTGTTTTTTGCTTTACCTGACTCCAGAAGCTTCTTGGCACAGGCAATCTGCTGGTTTTCACAAGCCAAATAGAGCGGAGTGCCCAGGTGGCTGATGTTATGATCAATGTTACTCCCATGAGCTACAAGAGACTCAACACACTCCACATGGCCTGCAGCCCAAAACAGAAGAAAAACAGTTACAGTACAAGTTCCTTTAACTAGGGAAGCAACACTGTCCCCATTTTTTGCATGTTTAAATTTGCCAACAACTTATCTAATACAAAAGCTATTGCCTTTACCTAGAATCAGAATGATTTTCAACACTGCCATCAGTTAATAGGTTGACTACAAGATGTGATCTACAACTACATGTGAAACTCCACTTGAGTTTACCAGCCACAGTTAACCAACCATCAGCCATCCACCTTTTCCCAACTGTTTGTGGCTATGTAGTTAGTCTCAGTATAGAAACTGAAGTGAGAGTTGGGGAGAGCTATGAAGGAACAGGAAGTAAAGGTGTGCCTGAAGAAGAAAGCGCATGGTATGGGCCACAGGATAGGAAAAGAAACTTACAATTTCACCAGGGCAGGCCTGAGAGAAACAGGCCACAGTGGGCACAGGCGAGGCTTAGAATAAGCTGTCAAATCCAACAGGAGCAAAGCCCAGTCTGGCAAACTAGGTGGATGCTGAATCACTCTGCCTTGGTCCAGAATGTCACGCTTTCAACATTGCTCCTTTACATTTCTCTTGTTATACCATTTTAGCTCTATGTATCCAGTGAATATGATGAGCTATTATGTTCTCAATAAACAAATATCAATGCTTTGAGAGATAATTATAATATGGGTTGGTCCAGGCAAATGGGAAGCCATTCTGCAAAAACTACTGGGGAAATAGCCCTCTGGGGAGGTATGGTCATTATGGTGATGGTGAGACACATCAGAGAGTAAAGCAAAACTTGCGATTTTATTCTTTATCTCAGATTTAAGAATATTAGGAAAACTTTGGTTTTACAAAAATAATTATCCCAAACTATATCCATAAGACATCATATGGATCCCAAAACTGAAAGTTTATTTCACTTGGCAGACTTAAGTGGCACTGAGATGATATTCTTTAAGGCCCTAAAATAGAATAATATAATTTGTTTTATAAAATAACTTGATTTTTATGGGGTCATGAGTATAACAATATATTCCACAAATATTGATGGATAGTCTACTATGTGTCAGGCCCTGTTCCAGGAATGTAGCAGTGAACAACATTCCAAATGCTTTAAAAGGGAGGCTTTCAAACTTACTGCACATCAGAATCAGTTAGGGGACTTGTTAAACAGATGGCTGGGCCCCACCCCTAGAGTTACTGATTCAATGGGGCTAGAACCTGCATTTTCAGGTCAGGTCATGCTGACGCTTCTAGTCTCGGGACCCCATTTTGAGAATTTCAGCTCTGAAGTATACCTCCTCTTCCCTCTTTCGACAATAAGACGTCCCTTGAGTGGGTAGAAAAACGTTAATTCTCAACTGCTTTACCTCTCTTAGCAGCTTCATGGATGGGGGATGCCAGATCACTCTCAGGGTTGGGGCTGGCTCCATGCTGCAGAAGCAAATTCACACAATCCTGGCTGCCGCTGACACAAGCATTAAACAGGGGAGTATGCCAGTCTGTTGTCATGCCATTCACCTGGGGGTGGGGGGAAAAAAAGCTCTAAGATAAAGACAAGCAGTGAGTGTTTGGGGTTCAAACATAGGGTCCACCACTTTCAAGATGTTATTATTTAACTCTTCCAAGCCTTAAATTCCACAGCTATAAAATGGAGAGGAAAAATACCAATTCCACAAGGTTCTTGCGAAAAACTGAATGAGGTAGCAAATAGAAGGCACAAAAATTGTTACTGAAAGTTCTGTCTCCTCCATGCCCTGCCCAGGAACACAAACTTGGAAACTAGTTAGGATAATTTCAATAGCATACAAACAAATCTCTTGACTTTAAACTTCCTTCCTAGACCCACATCACACCAATTCAGTTTCCTCACAGTAGCAAGAGTAATCTTCCCAAATTGTTAAAGTATAATTTGTTTTAAATTTTAAAATTTGACTTGCATACAAATATAGAGTTAACACATGCCAACAATTTTATTCAAATCATTCATTAGTAAGGGAACCAGTAAGATGGTAAGGCTGGCTCAAAGAAAAATGTATATAGTCAGCCAGGGTACTGCTGAAATACAATCGCTAATAGATACAAAAGTAGTTAATGTCCCATAGGACCATAAAACTATAATATTTGGAGTCAGCTTTTCAACTGTTGGAAATCAGACCAAAATTTACAAGTTAACATATAACTTCACAGTGTTTGGACTATAATGGAATACTAAGTAACAAAGTCAAATACAGATAAATTATTGCGTATTATTAAAAAATTATTTCGTGTTTTTATTTGGCAGTGATATTGTGAAGACAATGAGTTCATTCTTACACTGTAATGTTAAGCAAGTTCAGAGCTAGAGTGAGGCACAATAGATGCCCAGGGTTCAAAATTCAAGGAGATGCAAGTTTGCACCCTAGCTGCCTCTCTTGCTTCACCTTCTCCCTGGCCCTGTTTCCAAATTCTGAATAAATTTCCTTAGCCCAAATGCAAATCTGACAATGCACTCACTTCTGGCTTTCTAGTGATCTCAGGACAAAGTCCATTTTGTTTGACATGGACAACAAGTTTGCTTGTGCTTGGAACTCTCTCACTCACTCAACTCTCCTGTCATAGGGAATGACTTGAAGTCAAATTTTTTTCTCACTTGCACTTCCAAGACCTTGCATTTGCTGTTCCCAAAAGGTGGGAAGCCCACAGTTTTCCCCAACTCATCATTCAGTGGCCTAAGCCAACAGGTCCTTTAGGTTTTAGCTTAGTCATCATTTTTTAGAGAAAGCCCCTTTTGACTCCCTCTCTTCCCATCAGCAATAGACGGGTTGGGACACTTTTATGTGCTCCCAACAACCACCTTAGTAGTAATACTTATTACACTGTGGCAGTTTGCAAAAATGGCCACAGATTATTTTTATCCCAACATGCATATTCCTTTGCAATGTGGCTTTGCAACTCCTTTCCATCACAAGATGGAGACGATTTTTCCAATCGCTGAATCTGGTTTGCCCATGTGACTTACTTTGGCCAATGGAACAGGGGCAAACTGATGCAAGCAAAAAGCTTGCCCTCTTTTGCTGCTCTTGCAATCCCAGCTACCATGTGAATAAATTCAGGCCGCCTGCCAAAGGACAAGAGACTACATAGAGATTTTCTGTCTCCCCAGAAAATCTCAGGCATCTCAGCCAAACGTGTGGGCTTTCTACAATATTTCACTGCCTTTCAGCCATAGCAATGAAGGCAGCGTAGTCTAATAACTATTAGCAGTTTCTGATACAGAAAATAATATACACATGACCTTCTAGCTAAAAATGTAGTATTTCATCTATCACTAAAGCAAATAAGCTTGATGGACATAATACTCTTGAAAAACAACCATCTTCATATTTCAAATCAGGTTAATCAAAAGTGCTGGAAGTCTTTCAGAAGAGATAGAAACTGTCACTTCTTTTTCATATTTGATTTCTAAGATGTTATTTGAACTGAGTTTACCTGAGCTCCATGCTTTAATAAAATGTTTGCACAAGAGGGATGACCTCCAAGACAGGCTTCATGGAGCGGGGAAACACGATCTGCTGTGATGAGGTTCACAAGCCACCCCTGAAGGAAGGGAGACAAGCAGTTAGAGGTGCAAAGCAACAGTGCCCTGGGACTGGTTTTCAGCCATGATTCTAGTACTGTGACAACTCTCTTAAAAGTAAACCTGGCTGAAATTCAGACAGTACACTAAGTGTTTACAGTGATATTTATAAAGAACTGTCACATACTGCAGGTGGGAGAGTAATATGGTACAATCACTCAGGAAAACAGTTTGGCAGTATCTGTTAGAGTTGACAATACACATGCCTATGACCCAGAAATTTGACTGTTAGGTATAGACATTCAAGGTATATACAACCTAGATAAATATAGAAGAATATTTCACAACAGCATTAATCATGATAGCCAAAAACTGAAAACAACCCAAATGTCCATGGGCTGTCGGCTGGATTAATAAACTTTGGTATAATCTTTCAGTGGAATATTGCACTGAGCAAATTATAGCTGCAAGCAACTACAGACGTGATGCTTGGAAAAATAATGCTGGGCAAAAGAAGCGAGACCCACAACAATACACACTGACACAAAATTAGGCAAAACTAACTTATATTGCTTCAGAATATGTACACAGGAAGTCAAACTATAAAGAAAAACAAGAAAGTCAAGATAATGGTTAGTTGTGTGGAAGATAAAACAGGACTGTGCTCTAGAAAGCACGAGGGGAGGGATGGGTGGCGCTTTTCCCATTTCTTGACCTGGGGGGCAGTCACATGGCAATGCTCTTGTCATTATCACCATTTGTTAAACTACACATATGTGTTTGTGTCCTTTCATGTTTGCTTATGATATTTCTCAATGAAATTTTTTAAAGTTAGCCTGGCCCAAATTGTTAAGTTTAACAAGCAAGTATTAAATTTTAACAAATTAACAAACGGTTCTGTTTTATGGGACAATTAAAAGAATATTTCAAAACTGCAGGGAAACAGAAATGTACTACATGCACCTTTTAGGAAGTCTAAACATACTTTATTACTTTAGGAAATTAAAGTGTACCTATTATCCTATAAAATTGCTCTTTAAGTGTGAGTATTTAGTGATACACTGGATTCAATAACGTGTGTAATAAAAATATCAGTTCCATTTAAATTTTTTCCTCAAAAATGAAACACCTTTTTTTGACATTTAATTTCTTTCTTGGCCTTCCTGGCTCTCTTAGTTTTGACAAGGGAATCAGCAAACTACAGCCCATGAGACAAATCAAGCCTACGACCTGTTTTTGTATAGCACAGAAGCTAAGAATGGTTTTTACATTTTAAATGGTTGAAAAGAAATCAAAAGAATAATATTTTGTGACACATGAAAATTATATGAGATTAAAATTTCAGCATCCATAAACAAAGTTTTATCAGAACACAGCCATGCCTGTTCATTTACATACTGCCTATGACTGCTTTTGTGCTTCCAATACAGAGCTGGGTAGTTAAACAGAGACAGCATGGTTTGCAAAGCCTAAAATATTTATGTCTTGTCCTTTACAGAAAAAAAAATGTGCCAACTCTGGTCTTGATAGAAGGAAATAATATATCATTTTTTACTTTACTAGTCATACCTAAGATTTAAATGTCCAATTGCCAGAGGAAAATAACGTATTTCCTCACATAATCATCAGACTTTTAAAAAGTAGCTTTGTTAATGCAACAAGAGGGGGGTGATTGTTACATGAGGTAAAAATCATGCGAGAGTATCAGACACAAGTGGTGGGAAGACCAGCCCAGGCACAGAACTCGGACAAAAGACAACCATACAGATGACCAATAAGAAAATGTGCAGAGCCGGGCTCGGTGGCTCAGCCTGTAATCCCACACCTTTGGGAGGCTGAGGTGAGTGGATCGCCTGAGTCCGCGGGTTCGAGACCCGCCTGGGCAAGCAAGACCTCATCTCCACAATAAATCAAAAATCAGCCGGGTGTGGTAGAGCGCGCCTGTAGTTCCAGCTACTTGGAAGGCTGAGGCGGAAGGATCGCCGGAGCCCAGCAGGTCGAGGCTGCGGTGGCCGGGAGCGGCCACTGCACTACAGTCTGGGCGACAGAGTAAGACTCTAACCCAAAAAATAAAAATAAAAAATAAGAAAATGTGCAGAATTGTTGAGCAAGGCAAAGGAAGTGAGGAGTGACCATGGAGGTCACACCACCTTCATAACTGTACGATTCCCCCAACCAACGACAGTGTGCAATCTGAAAGAAGATGCCCTTCAACCTCAACTGGCCCGGCCTGCCCACTCTAACATAGAACTTTGCCTGGTATTGATTGGAAGTGACAAGTATGCAACTATGAATGATGAGGGGAAAAACAAAACATTGCCCTTGCTTGTCTATAAACTGTGAGCTCCCCGATGATTCCTGTCTCCTAATATTCACACCCTTGTGTAATCTGTTCTCCTTGAGTGAGGGCTGGATCTAGAGATTTGCTCCTCATGAAGAGAATATGCAAACGTGAAGACTATTTTTCATCTTGCTCTCTCTCTCTCTCTCTTGCCCTCTAACTAGTTGCTTACTTGTTCTGATGAGATCCATTACAAAGAACCGAGTGAAGGTGGCCTCCTGCCAACAGCAGCCAGGTACTGAGGCCCTCATTCAACAACCCAGGAGGAAACCACCTAAGTGAGCTTGGATGCAAGTCCACCCTCAGTCAAGCCATAAAATGACTGCAGCTCTGGCCTTCACCTTGACTGCAGATTCATAAGAGTCCCTGAACCAGCAAAATTGTGTCTAGATTTCTGACCCACAGACACTTAAAGCTAATACATGTTTATTGATTTAAGCTGCTAAATTTGGGAGTAATTCATTACACGATAAGAGGTGACTAATACAAGGCCAAAGCATTGGATGATCCTCCATACACAGAGTTGCAGAAAGTCCCAAGGCAGAGGGACAATTACATTCTCGCTCTAGAAACTTTGGGTTTGGAGAAGCAATAAAGTGTCTAAAAGGCTGGTCTTGGGGTCAGTCAACCTCTGGAAAATGTGTTTTCTAGGAGAAGGATCCAATCCAAGTAGAACATCAAAAGGGTCCCAGGAGAGGGTCCACGGCCCCTTGTCATCATCTTCTCCACCCCCCCCACCCCTCACCCCCGGACTTGGAACTTATTATCCTTAACACAGGAAAACTGGATACAATAAAAATTCTTTTTCTAGGGGCATGTCAATTAAGATCATGGTTGATTTAATGAATGACTCAGTAATACAATGTACCTTTTCTTCCCAGAGTAGTTAAAAGTTGTCTAAAATCCAATAAATTGCCTCACTAAAAGCCAATGAATTGCCTCATTCAGCTTCATGCCTATCATTCTTCTACTTTTGTGGGCGCTAACAAGTCAACCCCCCAGTCATCCTGTCCTTTTGGCATTTACTCTCCAATTGACAAGCTCACACATTTTGAGGTATCCAGTCATTCTGTGCATATACCTGAGTCTAACAGGAGCTTGAATCCAGATCCTTTCTTGAGTGGATCTGGGAAGGGGTACTGGGAGACTCCAGTGTACTATCTAGTGTTGTGCCTTCCCAGTTCTGCCATTCAAAGGAAGAACAGACACTGTACCTTCCCACCCTTCATAGTTTCACATCCCATCCGTGCTCAATAAACACTCAATAAAACTAACTGACCCCGGACACATGAAGAACTCGAGTTACTGCATTTATTCTTTCACAAGTATCACCAATGGACTTAACAATGTGGCATCTACTATTTTATTTCAATTATTGGCATTATTATTTTATTGGAGTCATTCCCTCAAAGATTTGACTTCAAATCATTTTTCCCTCTCTGTTTGATATGAGTCCAATCTCCTCCTCTCAAGAATACACAAAAATGCACAGCAAATGTTAACTGCACTTGTCTCTGTGCAACGGATCATGGGATGAAAGAAAACTACTCT